TTTTTGAATTGAATTTGCTTCCTTCAAATGCTTAACCCTACGTATCATTCGCAAAGGCTGCATGGTGAACATGGAGTATCAGAAACAATGGTTTCACAGATGACTGTTGTACGCTCCACTAGGAATTTGAAAAATTAAAAATGGAAACAGAATTCCAGGGAGGCAGGCAAAATTCATATCAAACAGCAAATAAACTTCCGTAATTAACATATAAAGAAGGCGGTACTTGAAATAATCTCACAAAACGTAAGAAGTTAAAATTATATTGACAGATCTTCAGGGTCATGTTGACTTAATGCTCACTAAGTTCCCTTTGTCACACACCCAACCTTTAATAATTTGAGCTCAAGATTGCTTACAGAAGATGCTATTCTAACTCTGAACTCAAAAGGTCACAAATACCTAGCATTATGACCAAAATCATCACAGTCAACAAAAAATCAGCATACCAGAAACTTCAAATGAAAAGAGACAACCATGAACCAATGTTTCCAGTCCCTGATCACCGAAATTCCGGGATGCTTTATCTTAGGGTGAATTGAGTTTGGAGAGGTCTCATTGCAACCATAAAAAATTGAATGTTATGCACCAACTTGTTGCAAAGCCAAGAGAAACGGGAAAAATGAAAATCCAAACCTTTGGAAGAACTAAATTCAAGAACACCCCTTACATGCAAGGGCTTAAGGAAATTTAAGACACTTGAAGCAAGAAATGGAATGGGCAAACAAGACTAACAACCAAAGGCATAGTAGGTTCATGAAATTACAAAAAAGTGCACCTAATTAACAAAGTGAAAAGGCAGGCCGATTATACCCCAAGTTTAACCATAAGAGATGTGGAAAGGAACCAAAACGAAAAGATATGGAACAAAGTGCTGCACCTAAAATTTCTCTATCAACCTCTCCTCAAGATCATAAGTACTAATTCTTCATGGTCTCTTCATTTTAGGAACATTTCATAAATAGCATACCACTAATTCAGCTATAGGTTGAACTTTGTTTCATATAGCAATGGCAAACTATGTCTTTCTGCTCTTTCCCTTTTCATTTCCTTCATCAACTTTTTCAAGCGAGTTGGAAATCAATCTTGAACCATAAGACTACACTGATCGCACTCCATAATATAATACCGGAAATTGGGTATTGATGTAAGACAATAATGACGGCTTCAACAGCAATCAAAGTAAATTCAAAACCAAAATAAGCAGTCACTTTTGATGAACAAAAAAACATACCTCTGAGAACACACCCGTACCAAATAGAAGAACTGGGACCAACATAGACATCTCCAACAATGGATGCACTGGGTGCCACGAAGGCATTCTTGTCGACCACGGGAACTTTATCACATAAGTTCATGAGTGTTCTATGCCTAGAAACTGGTAGAAACAAAAAAAGAGCTAACTTAAAAATGATCTAATAATATTTTCTAATAGTTATAGGGGATTCGAACTCCGAATCGACCATTGCAACGTGTGAATTACTACAAACAAAAAAAAAAAAGAATCATGAATTAACAGTTTCAAACATCCCATCCCATTATTCGTACAAGAGGGACGAGAAGGATTTTAGTAAAGTTGCATTACATTCCATAACTTGCAGTAATAGCAGCAGAGAAGAATAAACAAACAAATCATCTCATGAGCTCAAAAATCATCTCTTTTCAAACCCCCTAATCACAGTTACCCTAAATGCTAAAAGAAAAAGCTAAACAAAATTCCAAACGCCATTAGCGTAAGCTGAGGTGATCCGCAAGGTTAAACCAGAAAGAATAAAAATCGCCCACCTTGTTCTTGGAAAAGATAGGTTCCCTGCAGGCGTGATCCGAGCCGATCGAGGGCCTGGCCGGTTTCCCTGATCCAGAATCCAACGGCGTAGAAAGCTCTGCCTAAAGAAGCCATCTGTCTTCTCCGTCTTCTTGTGTGTTTTCGCACCTGCAATTGGAATGCTGCGTTTGCGTTTAGGTATTTTGAGCTTTAGAAATTTACTTAGAGAAATGGAAGGTTAGATTTGAGTAGAAATTGATTTTGGGGGAGAGTGGAGAGTGTGGAGGCCACATTTCACTGACGAGTGGACAAATATGCAATATCTAAGTCCTAAAAGGCTAAAATTAGTATTAAATAGTGATGCTTTAAGGTATGTTAGGTAAAACTATCTGATAATTTAACTGATACTTGATAAGTTTGTTTATAGTTTATAAGTAAAATGTTCGAACTTATCTTTTATGGTATGATTGGTACAAGGGAATGACGTGAGAGTGGAATGTTTATTTCTTTACTAATTCCTATTCCTATGATTAGTATATATTTTAGAAAAGAATGACCATTCCAATAGGAATTGTAAATTCCATTTCCATAGGTTTAGCTATTCCATAGCAAATACAAGGTTTTTCTCATTCCTACATATGTGGGAATCAATTTCTCAAGAAATAAAATTAACAAATGATAATAGTAAATAACAACAAGACGTTAAAATCTCACTAAGTGGGGCCGACTATATGGATCGCATGTCGCCGGCTCACCATCGTGTTCGACCAAAACACACATCCACACAATTTTTCTATAAAACCAGATGGTTAGTTTTCTTAGCTCACCATCGTGTTCGACCAAAACACACATCCACACATTTTTTCTATAAAACCAGATGGTTAGTTTTCTTATGGAACCAACCACCAATGGGACAGCTCCACATGGGGCTGTCCCACATGAAAGTCATGTGGAAAGCCCCATGTGAAACTATCTCATTGGTGGTTGGTTCCATAAGGAAACCAACCATCTGGTTCTTAGCAAAATTGCACATCCACATTCAAATTGAAATATTTAAAATAATTTTTTATTATTTCCTTCCAAGTTTTCTTAGTTCTACCCTCCCACTTTTGATTTGCGTTCTTAATTCTAGTATCTCTAAGTCTCTTCTACACACATGTCCAAACCATATTATATAAAAATAAAACTAAAAATGCATTTATAAATAATTTAAAAAGATATTATTTAAGTTTTATAAATCATATATATTATAAATTTATTCATAAATTTAATTATAATGTAAAAAACTATATTCGACTACATATGCTTATAGGGGTTTAAATAATGCTATATTTGTATTAGCTAGCTAATATGTATATCAATACATCATTTACTAATTTATTATATAATTATGTGTGTAAAAATACAAAAATATATTTATCAAAATATAGTATATTTTATATAAAAAATAATTTTATTATTATCATAAATAAAAAAAATATTAATATCAATATTATTTTTTATATAAAATAGTGATAAATGATAATATAGAATGATATTATCAATCCATTCAGGTCTTATTCCTTCTGCATACCAAACACATCAATGGAAAAACTGGTTTCATTCCTTTCTCATATTCATTCAATTCCACAACTCATTCCATTTTTATCAAATTTCATTTCGTTATACCAATCATGCCATTATAGTTTATGACTTGTAGTTGAAAAACTAACTTATATGATAAAAGTGTTTTGTAAAACTAGCTGATAAGCTAGCTGAAACAAAAATTTCAACGAGCTTATTTGAAAAGTTACTCAAAAGAGCATATCAGATAAGGTCGAGTTTTTTTAAAAAAAAAAATTCGTCCTCAAACGAAACTTATTTGAATACCGAGAACTTGTTAATATTTTTTCTTTAACAGGTAGGTAGAGCTTGGATATAAGCAAAGCTGTCAAAAAAGCCCGCGGTTCAGCCCGCCCCGTCCCGCAAGTACATAATAAATGTACATAGATGTACAAATAACACTCACATTGAATAAGGTCCACTTGATTTTTTTTATTTTTGGTAGGACCCACTCAATGTGATTATTATGTACACTTCTACGTACAATATTATGTACCTATGGCATTTCTTATTATTTAATAGATAGTTTGGAGAATAAGTTAGGTTTTAATAATGAGAGCCTTAGATAAAAGACTCTTATTCTTTATTGTGAGGGTGGTGGATTTTGAATAAAATATGAATTGATATCGTATTTAGGTGTTTTTGTTGCGTTCATTTCTAGCGTTGATATTTTCTTTAATCTGGCACAAAATGGATGTATTTATTGTAGCGTCCATTTCTAGCATTCCCCACTTACCCTCTGGATGACTCGAACTCGTGACCTCTTTGGTCTCAAGTGAAGGGTGCTACCACTGAGCTACGCCCTTCTTGTCTTAGTCAAGTTCAATGTTGTCTCTTCACATTTGTCATGTTTATCAGTAGACATCATTTTTTCAGTGTGTTTGATACAGTTCATAATAAACATTTTTCACATTAGTTCTAACTTCTAACACTACTCATCTCATATATATATCCAACATTTCGTTTGATACTCCATGAAATATCATATACTATTTTTTAATATTTACATATTCTCTCTAATAAATTTGAATAATACCTAACCATTTAAATCCTCTTCACTGAGTAAACACTTCTATCTTCACGTCACACTTAACCATTCTGGTCATTATTTTTCAAATCCAAGATATCACGAACTAAAAACGAACAATACTGAGCTAAATCTGTACAGTCAAACTTCCATGAAGGAACCCTCGAGACTAAGTTTGATCACAAACGAAAAACTAACAATGCTGAGCTAAATCTATACAGTTAAAACTTCCATGAATGAACCCTCAAGACTAAGTTTGATACACATTAAGCGGCTTAATGTCTCTACTACGCATATACGTAAGGAACTGAGATGGCAGTTCTTCAAGAAGAGCTTGAACCACAGAAATCTTTCCGCCTGCACACAACAAATCGAAAGTTTTCTTCCGGATTAAAATGACACAAAGTAGAAAGTACGGGTTGTCAATGGAGCACGAACACGTATATTATAATCCAAAATTATGCAACCTTTTGCTACTACATAACATGAAAAAAAAAAAAGGAAGAAAGGAAACAACAATCACAAGGGCTCGCCAGGCATTGGTATAACACTTAAAATGTAAGAATTTGTAATTTTGATAAATGTAATATTGTATTACTTAGTTTTCTTATTTAGCTCATTTAAGAAGAAAGGGGAAAAAAAGGCTCAATTGATGTATCAACATTTTCATAACCTCGCAATAAATCAGTAGTACTTACCATGCACTTCGCGCATTGGAACAAACTGAACAATGTCACGTGTTGCTATCCTTCCTGTTGAACTCTCTAATCGACGTCCGTTATCAGCATCAAGAATCTGGTTCAACCAAAAGGGGAAAAAAATTAGGGAAGAAATTGAGTCCATTTTATACTTTAAAA